CCCTGCTCTATAGGGTTTTCAAGGAGCATCTGGTAGGTTTGAACCACCAATTTTATGGGTAGCAGTCCAGTGTTTACCCTACAACACCACACCAGAACTACTGCAGACTAATAGAGTTCTTTAAATATTTTGGTAAATAAACTTGAATATTACTTTATTATACCAGATTCACTTTGCTAACTCTGGAATATAAAATGTGCTACTGCAAATTGGAATTATGTTTATGTCTGAAACAAGATCTTAAGCCAGCTAAATTCAGATTAGGTGTTTTAAAGGACGCTCCTCAGTAGAATTTGTAAAGCACAGAAAGTGACCAGATGCTGACCTTGTGTTAACTAGGAAGCAATTTATGTAACTGCCTCAGCTCATTTCCTCACTGTTTTTACTTCCAAAGCATCCTCAGATGACAAAACAGTGGGAAATCTGTAGGGTACAATCCTCCCCTGTTAACTCTGGGCAATATCTGATTTGATGATAAGACAACAATGACAATGAAGCTATTCTACTCCTCACTTGGACGTGATTTAGATATTTGAAATGGTATTTTTATAAGAGTAAAACAAGAAAGCCAGGGAGGTGTCAGGGGAAAATACAAGAGTTGTGAAAGGAAATGAGACAGGTAAGACTTTGTTTTGGGAACAAGGAAAGGAACTAAATTAATAATAATATTTAAAATGTAAACATAATTTCAAAATGCATGCTACTTCTTCATTTCATTTTCTACTTCACCCATATGAGTAAGGTAGCCTATCTCAGAATCCAATAGTAAGCTAAAAAGTGCCTCATTAAAATATGACCACGGTAAGCTTAAACATTTTAATATATATCATGTATGTATTAAGCTCATCTGTGTTAACATCTGTATGGACTGATCTCATCAAAATTTTAAATTGAAGTCTTAAATCCTAGTATACACTGTAGGATAAGCCCTAGACTGCTAACCAGAGGTCAGTGGTTCAACCCACTAGCTGCTCCTCTGAAACCAACTTGATTGCAGATAACCACCACCACCACCACAATCCCTAGTACTTGTAAACATGACCTTGTTTGGAAATAGGGTTTTAAAAGATGACAGCAATGAATTTAAAGTGGGATCATATTAGAGTAAGGTGCATCCTAATGTAATCCAGACTCCTGGTGTGGCTCTGTAGGAACAGCTTTGGAGTGTGAACCAAAAGGACTGTGAACCACAAGCTGCTCATTAGAAACATTACACAGGATCCATGAGTCAGCATTGGCTCAATGGCACTTAACAACAACAATATAATCTGAGTGGTGTTTTACAAAAGAGAAGACAGACCAGGGGAAGGTAAACACGTGACAAGAAAGTTACGTTGCAACTGCAAGATATAGAATGCTAGAGGTTACTGGAAGCTGCAAGACACACAAAAAAGTATATTCCTCAAGAACCTGGGAGAGAGCAAGGCCCTGCTAACAGTTAAAATCTGGACTAATAGCCTCCAGAACTGTGGGACAATAAGTTTCTGTTCTCAATAGCAACTCAGTGGTAATTTGTTATGGCAGGCTGAGGAAATTAGTATAGTTTTTGGTAAAGGAAAGTGGAATGCTGATATAACAAATGCTTATAAACACAGAGTAGTATAGTAGTTAATGGGTAGAGGCTGGAAGAATTTTGTGGTGGGGTAGAGGCTGGAAGAATTTTGTGGTGTTTCATAGAAAAAGCCTAGCTTACTTCTAAGAGAGAATTGGTAGAATGATAGACATTAAAGGCAATTTTGGTGAATGATAAAAAAAGAAATGAGGAGAGTTGTCGAGAAACTGTCTTTTATATCAGAAAATACACATATCATCATGGACAGATTGTTGCCTAAAATGTGGACATTAAATAAATGTGCTTCTTGTGAGGATTTGAATGTAGATGATGAATGTATTACTGGACATTGAAAGAATAACTATCCTTGTTGGAAATGGGCAAAGAGCTTAACTAAATTATGTTAGAATGCCTGGTGGAAAACAGAACTTGCAAGTGATAAAGTTGATATTTAGATGAGGGGATTTCTAAGCAAAATGTGGAAGGTTCAGTCTGGTTTCTCCTTCTTGCTTATAGTAAAATGGAAGAGGAAAGAGAAAAAATGAGAAACGAGCTATGAGCTATGTCAAAATAAACAGAACTTGAAAATCTCAGCCTACTCATATTGTAAAATTTGAGGAAGATGCTCTGGAGAGAACATCAGGGTGGACTGTAACACTCTTTGCTAAAGCTATTAGGTGGTGATTTATGGACTTATCTATCATCTCAGTAGAAACACTGTCAATTTAATCTGAAAGGGCTAGAGATAGGATGAAAGCAGTAAGGCTGTTAGACTGCTGGGACTGTACAGGTAGGAAACGATCTGATGGAGCTTCTTGAATATGGACATATATTGTCCTTCGAGAAAGGGGAA